TCTAATTTTAGAGATGTTGCACAAATGGAAGAAAGCAGTCCTACACATTTGTTTAACATGTGCATTTTATTTTGTTGTATTTTTCCGCGACACCTTAAATATTGTCCCCAAAAAATGTTGGAGACCGCTGTGTTAGAGTACTCAGATTACTTTTTCATTGTAATAAATGTGTTTTACAATCCAAGTAATCGGTTATTCATTTTTCTAATAAGCGTTCTGTTACTGTTAGTTTCCTGCTCCTTTCCTTCTAACAAAGGGACAAAAGTGAAGTCCCTAATGCTTACAGCGTTGCTGCCCATGCAGATGCATTATGCAAAGTGGAAGGTATCTAATCCTGCAGCTGCGTGGCGAGTGGACGCCCTTCACAATGACATATTTACGTAGAGCTTCCCTTTACACGCAGAAGAAACATCCAACATGTCGGCGAGTTATGAAGATGTATTTTTGGGAACACAAAGGTAACTGATGAGTTTCCTCTGGGGCCGATACTGGGACAATAAGGATTCCTTTCTAATGCAGTAATCTTCAAAAGTTACAAGTTACTTTCAAAAATCATGAGACTGACACCGGAGGGAGCGGGTGGGTGGGGCACGTCAATCAACAGGTAGCAATTTCAACCCTGAGATGGACGGACTACAACAGCTGATCAAGAACGGGAATCTGAGGCTCGAGGTCGCCCACACCGGGCAGTCAGACGTAGCCTGGCGTCCCGAGTCCTCCGGCTGACCCGGTGGAAGCGTCGCTGTCATGTGCTGATGGTTTTTGTGGCTGTCGCTGTGTTTGAGAGGCCGTCAGCCAGCCTGGTCGACTCGCTGACTGACTGCCAAACAGTCACTGACTGACTGGGTGTGTAATTCCTCCTTCCCAGTGCAGGTCTGGCATGCTGTAATTATTAGCAGTTATTATTAGTAGTTTTAATCAGCACTGTAAACCATTGTAATTAGGATTTCCTATTATGAGTGGTTGCCAGTTTGTGGACGTGTGAGTGTGTGTGTCTGCTTGGCAAGGTATTGTTCAGTCATAGCTATTATTGGTGCCCTGGCAGCTGCTTTTTGTTCTCTTGACTTGTGATTGTTCTTCGTGTACACACTGTATTTGAAGGGCTTCCTTGGAGCTGCCAACCCCCGAAAACCCTCATTAATTACTGCCAGCTAGCAGCCCTGTTTTCCCAATAATCATATACGACGTGCACAGATCCTATCAGGAGTTCATGCACATTTAGCACCCCGCTCGTGTTCTTTGGATCGCTGGTGAGTTTGAACTTGAGTTCAACTTGGACCCAAACTGTTTGTGCACTTTGACTCTGTAGAAATCAGCACTGATATGCAGAAGTGATACACATGGCCAAGTATCAGTTTTCCACCATGTCATCAGATTTCATAATCCCATTCAGCACTTTGTGGTCACTGCAGAAAAATATAAGAACTACTGTGCGCTGGGTCGGGTTGTTGGGAGAGATTATGAGATCTGACCGAAACAACAGAGCGCAGCTGGAAAAATCCAGGCTTTAAAGACGGATTAGTGCCGTCTCTGTTTTTAAAGTGAAAATGGGCTTGGAGAAACAAACGCTTACAGCACAGCGTGTCTAAATATTTAAGTATATGACATTCCTGTGCATTATCCACTGGCAGCCTTCTCTGTGGTACAGTCAGCTCCTGTCAGAGAACCTAAATGTGTTGATGTGAACCTCTTTTTAAAGATGCCGCCTTCACACCAGCTCACCGTTCACAACAAACTTTTTGAGGCTTGAAAAAATTTAAAAGATCAACATATTATATAACAACAAATCAGATGACTCCAGGTGACACCCCATTGGCAGGCACTTGGTGAGAGTGAGAAGGAAAAACTCCCTTTCAACAGGAAAAACCTCTGAGAAGCAGGCTCAGGGAGGGGGCGGGGCCATCTGCTGCGACCTGTCGAAGGTGAGGCGAGAGAGAAACGATTGAGAGAGCTTAGCTTTAAAGGAAGCCCACTCGTACACAGAAGTCAGAGTAAAGGAGAGAGAAGATAAAGTGTGACGACACGCTGCAGTGGTGTGTAAACATATGGAGAGTGAAGGGCTCAGTGTATCACAAGACGTCATGGTCACCTGGTCCAGCCCGAACTATGTGGAGCAGGATTTTGAATTCTGGATTTAACAGGAAGCCAAAACAGGAGAAATCTGCTCTCTCCCTGTCAGGACTCTTGCTGCAGCATTTTGGATCAGCTGAAGTTCTTTTTAGAGAACTTACAATAATAACTGGCAATTAGCTTTAAAGGAAGCCCACTCGTACACAGA